GCCATGCATAGGCTGCCTCTGTTTTCCTTTCTTTACTCCTCTGGAGGCTGCCAAAACCTCAGGATTGCTTCTCTGCCCCCCACAGCATATACAGTACCCAACATGTAAAGTAAGGGAATACCTAGAAACATTGACACACTCTCTCTCTCTCTCTATTGCTGCATCCAGGAAACTTTTATTATGCATTTAATTATCTATTTGTATGTTACAGATGGTCAGGTTGGAGTTTGCTCATTATGACTACAAATCACGTGGAACCATATCACCCAAGGATTTTGCTTTATCCATGGTTGCTTCTGCTGACATGAGGCACTTGAACAAGTTGCTAGATCGAGTTGATGAATTAAACAACGATTCAAATCTTAGTAATGTACGTGTTACATTTGAAGAATTCAAGAATTTTGCAGAGCTGCGAAAACAATTGCAGCCATTTTCTTTGGCCCTTTTCAGTTATGGAAAAGCAAATGGTTTGTTGACAAAGAAGGATTTTCAACGAGCTGCTTCCCAAGTATGATATTCATTTGTCCTTTTAAAGTACAGTTATTCTTTTTTTCTACAATTTCTTGAAACTTTTGAAGTTATTTTTGCTTATCATGCTATAAGTTTTTTGGAAGTCAATCTATTTGGTTAAGTTTTTGAAAATTATTATTATTATTTTTATTTTTCTTTAGTGAACTTTTTTCATATTTTAGTCTATTTTTTTTTACTTTTTGGGATGCACTCCATCTAGATACACTTAAAAAGTAAAATATTTATGAAGAAATTTGAAAAAAGTTTACTAAAAAAAATACTTAAAAAAAAAACCCCAAAAGTCTGCACATTTTCATAAATTTTTATCTATAATGAACTTTTTTCAAATTTCTTCACAAATATTTTATGTTTCAAATGCATTTGGATTAAATGCATCTGAAAAAATTTGATTGAAATATAAAAAAAAATTCACTAAAGACAAAAAAACTCAAAATAAATAAATTTGAAAACCAAATTTATTTTCCTGTTTTCATGGAGTGATCTATCAATGCCAGGTATGTGGCGTCGCTCTCACTGACAATGTTGTTGAGATCATTTTCCATGTTTTTGATGCAAACCGTGATGGAAGTTTAAGCTCAGACGAATTTGTAAGAGTTTTACAAAAGCGGGAAAGGGACATTGCTCAACCTACAGAAGCGGGCATCATGGACTTTTTATCTTGCTGTTGGAATTGTACAAATAACCGCTCCATTGCACGGTTTCTTTCCTAACCAATTTTGGTACGTGGCCTGAATTTTGTCATGTTGTAAATTAGGATAGTCGACTTCTCTCATCCAGTGGGCGGGTAGTTGAAGAAAGTGCTGACAGATAAATCCAATAGTACGAGGTGGAGGTATCAACAAGCATCGCGTCTTTGTTTGATTGTCTGCTAACTTGTGCTTGTCAGGATATCATTCTATACCTTAGTGTAGACCATCTCGCCTTTTCTCCACTGCTAATGTAGGTGGCACAGATCTTCCTAAACAAGTTCCTTGAAATAGAGAATTGTAGAGTTGATTTACACAATATATTAGTAATGAGGGTCTTGTACACAGTGAACAATCTAATTGTGTGAGTATTCTATGCCCGACCCTTAATTTGACGATGATATCCTTATATTTACCTTGTAAGTTCTTAAATGATTTATTTTTCTGTTTTTTACTTTCACTAGTGAACTGAGTTCTAATCAATAAATTGATTTTATTTTTTATTTTTTTATTTTTTTTGGAAGTGAAAAAAAGAGAGAGAGGGTAATGTAAGATTTGGAAAACATTAGGGAAGTTGGGACACAGTGACCAAGAGTGTTTGTTGTATATGATGTCCCTGCTGTTCTCATATTTTTCAGAATGTTTTTATTGTACCATAGGCAAGCTAATTTTGCTGGACATTTCTAGGTCTCTAGTATATATTTTCGAAGGGTATTTCTATTTGCACGCTATTTGTGTTATCCGGATATAAACTTCAGGAAGCTATGGTTATGTTGCTATGAGACAGAGAGTTACATGCAATGGTATTGGAGTTGTGATTACCTCTCTCCTTGTCCTTGGGGTCTTCGTTTTCCAGTTCAACCTTGATATTATGCCACTCTTACACATTGACTTTAACACCTTTCCCTTGTGAAAAACCCAACTCAACGTACATTCCAAATAACAAATGTAGCAAGTTCCTTCATTTTCAGCATTGGATCTCAATCCTTTGGTCACTGACATTTGTAGATTTTCTCAATTTACATCCATAACTATTTGTGTCCAGTTTAAGACAGAAAACTTAAAATTCAAATCCAAACTCAAACCCAAAATTCATAGCCAAATTCCTACCGTTCTCTTTCTCATTTGCTAGAAATTATCAAGCATTTTGAGTACATCATGTAACTGTATGTCCAATCAATCATAGTTTGTTGTTTTTCCGTACTCTTCCTATTTTTTTGGGTCATGTAAATAACTAGTTCCTTGCTATTCAATGGGCATATTGCCACCTTTAAATTCCTAAAAGACTAGATAATTACTCATCCTATGCATATTTATCCCAAAACTTTCAATACCCCTCCATTGCTCCCTTATCCCTCCACCTCCACCACCATCGCTCTCTTTGCCCCCACTTTTCACCATTCCACCCCTACACCATGACCACCTTGCACAAATGTTCAAACTCATCATTTTAATTAGGGTTGGGCATAGGGTTATCCAACCCGCACAACCCGACCTACCTAACTCTACCCGCACACGTATGGGCGGTTTCGCAAATACAATAGGGTAGGGTGCGGTTTGAAATAATTTAATTTTGCAGTTTGCAGCCCGCAACCTGTCACAACTGCCCGCACTATATATATATATATATTTTTGGAAAAACCTGGCCGTTCATTTACTTGGAAGAATTTACAACTTCCATTATATGTTCTGTAGTTATTTTACTTAATTGACTTCTAGTCTTACCTAAGTTGCACTTTGGTTAATGATTTAAATGATTCAAAGTACTTTTTTTTTTTAAAAACCTATTTATCCAAAAAAGAAAAGAAAAAGAGTACCTTTTTTTTTAACTGATTTTTATGTTTGATCAACACAATGCTTACAAAATATAAACTGTGCAAATCATGGATGTTAAACTGATGAGTGACATAAGTGACAATTCCATTCAATCTGTAGGCAATCTCAGTGTGTGTGAAGTTAAAATTAAACAATATCTATATTAATTTTTTTTAAAAAAAATTTAAACTGCAAACCGCATGTACATCCGCAAACCCTCTGTACATCCGCAAACCCTATCCATAGAAACCGCAAACCGCACTGCGGGCGGTTGCGGTTTGATTTTTTCCCAAACCGCATAGATGCTGGCGGGTCAAAACCGAACCGCAAACCGCACAAATTTGATCCGCGAACACCCCTAATTCTAATACTACACCAAAATTTTTAGTTTTGGATTTTGAGTCTTAAAACTTTAATATAATATATATACATATATTATATTTTGTAGCTACCAACGTGGAAGCTGGTTTTGGGATTAAATTGAAAAAAAAAAAAATTATAAATATTTGGAGTCAAGTGGGAAAAAAAATATTATAGCTAAAACGAAAAAATCTTGACAACTTAAGAGACAAAATGTAATTTAATCAAATTTTGTTATAATGTAGTTTGATGGGACCAAAGTTGATTCAGCAGTAAATTGAAAAAAAAATAGGAATATTAAGAGACAAAATGTAATTTAATCAAATTTTGTTATAATGTAGTTTGATGGGACCAAAGTTGATTCAGCAGTAAATTGAAAAAAAAATAGGAATATTATTATTAAGGGTTAAAGTGAAAAAAATAATAATTTAAAAACTAAAGTAAAAGTACCATAAAATCTCAAAGGATAAAGTAGAATTTACCTTAAATAAATTGGTAAAGGAACGGTTGATCCTATTTACACTATAAATTTATCGCATTACATTCTCTTTTTAATTAACCTCTTCAACAAAAATTTAAATTTTTATTTGTTCTCTTTAGGCACTCTATAAGTAAATTGAAAAAAAAAATAGGAATATTATTATTAAGGGTTAAAGTGAAAAAAATAATAATTTAAAAACTAAAGTAAAAGCACCATAAAATCTCAAAGGATAAAGTAGAATTTACCTTAAATAAATTGGTAAAGGAACGGTTGATCCTATTTACACTATAAATTTATCGCATTACATTCTCTTTTTAATTAACCTCTTCAACAAAAATTTAAATTTTTATTTGTTCTCTTTAGGCACTCTATAATACCAACTATACTTCCATTTCTAATCTCTTATATTCTCCTTACACAAACCTTTCAAATTGTAACACCTCCACCTTTAACTATTACAACCACCGCCACCACCACCTTGCAACTCCCTAGAAGCCTGCAACCCTCTATTTCAACAACTCTATGTATGTAAGAAAGTGAGAAAGGAAGATCTAGAATTTTTATGGTATAATTTTCAAATCTATGTTTTTTCTTGGAAGAAGAAGAAGAATAAGAAGGCGAAGATAAGGTGACTGCCTCCGTTTGGGAAGTGGGTTGGCTTTTTAGCTTTTTGGCTTTTTTGGCTATTTTAGCCTGGGCTTAAAAGCTTGGTTTGGGAAGGGTTTTTTGGTTTTTTGGCTTTTTTGAGTTTTTTTGTGAGAGAAGAATGTAATGATTATGGGTTGGATGTGATGTTTTGTTTGTTATGGCTAAAATAGCCTATTTTGTTTTTTGTGGCTAAAATAGCCAAAAAAACCTGCAAACCCACTTGCCAAACACAAGCTGAGAGAAAGGGTTGGAGGTGGCAATGGCGACGAGTGGCAATGGTAGTAGTCCAGTGAAAGTGCGCTGAAAGATGGTAGATGAAATGGGAAATTAAGGCGTTTAGTTTTTTAGGATTTAAGTGTTTTTTTTGATAATTTTAATTAGAAATAAAATTATAATAATTTTATAATTTTTATTTTGTTACATTCACTTCTTTTGAAGTTTGAAGGAAATATAATTACTTTTATATTTTTAACATAATTATTCTGGATTTTTTAAGGTTTTAATTCACATAATATTTAGGTATCTTTTTATTAGTAATTTGTTAGTCATATAAATAAAAAAAAATTATGCTATCATCTCTTTCGTACTAAAATATATATCTATATGTTCATTTCAATGTTTACCTACCATGGACACTACTCTTCGATCACTTTAACCATGCTAAAAAGAAAGTTAATATAAGCCCTGTATGGTAGAGTTGTGGAAAAGTGATTATAAATTATAGTTTAACAGATTATGGCTTATAACTGTAAATATAAACTGTTAACATATTTGGTGCAGCTGTGGGATTATGGATTTAAGCAGCAGAGTAGGTGTTTGGTTAATAAGTTATAAAATAACTTTTTACTGTGTAATTGTCTTTTTTGCCCTTATATGATATAAAAATGATTATTTTGTTTTCAGTTTTAATTTTAAAAAAATTATTTCATTAATAATAGTTAATATAATTAGTATTACAAAAATTATCATTTCATTAATAGTATCAATTAGTATAAAATTATTTCATTTTTTCATTATAAATTAATTAGTGACAATTAATGGCTTAATAAGCATCAATTAATACTAAAATTATTAATAGTTTCAATTAGTATAAAATTATTTCTTTTTTTGATTATAAATTAATTAGTGGCAATTAATGGCTTAATAAGCATCAATTAATACTAAAATTATTAATAGTATCAATTAGTATAAAATTATTTTATTTTTTTCATTATAAATTAATTAGTGGCAATTAATGGCTTAATAAGCATCAATTAATACTAAAATTATTAATAGTTTCAATTAGTATAAACTTATTTCTTTTTTTGATTATAAATTAATTAGTGGCAATTAATGGCTTAATTAGCATCAATTAATATTAAAATTATTAATCGTATCAATTAGTATAAAAGTATTTCATTTTTTCATTATAAATTAATTAGTGGCAATTAATGGCTTAATAAGCATCAATTAATACTAAAATTATTAATAGTTTCAATTAGTATAAAATTATTTCTTTTTTTCATTGCAAATTAATTAGTGGCAATTAATGGCTTAATTAGCATCACTTAACACTAAAATTATTAATAGTATCAATTGGTATAAAATTATTTCTTTTTTTCATTATAAATTAATTAGTGGCAGTTAATGGCCTAATTAGCATCAATTAATACTAAAATTATTAGTTAGTATCAATTAAATAAAATTTATTTTATTAATGGCTAAAATGCTTAATTATTATTATTATTATTTTTTTATTAAAAACACACTGAAAGCCTCCAAAAAGAAAAAAAAAAAAACACTGAAACCCTAGCTCCGGCAGTCACAGTGATGCTAGGGTTTGAGATCACCTCACACGATCGATTGCGATGGGGGATGGGGGACGACGACGGAGGCCAAGATCTTCATCTTCATCTTCATCTTTATTTTCTAGGCCAAGATCTTCATCTTCTTGTCTTCTCCGACGTTGATCGAGGCTATCGATTTGGCTCCCATAGACACCGCCACTGTTGTACGACTTTCTCTCTTCTACAGACACCACCACTATTATACCACTACCGCTAGCAGGTGTTGAAATCGTTACTCCCCGCACTTCCCTATACTCTTCACCAAGTCGAAAGCTAGGTTTCCGTCGCCCTTCGCCACCGCGAGCCTCTCTAGGGCGGTAATTATCACTCTCAATGGATTGTCTTCCCTTAGATTTGTTCGAATTCAGATTTA